ATATCATTATTATTTGTTTATAATTATACTATCGATAATTAACTTCACGTACAGATGTTATAAATACATCTAATGAAACACTATATAAGTAAAAATGATCAAGAATAAATATTTCGATTTGTTAGTAGTATATATAAATTAGCCTGTATACTTCTGTAAAGTAAAAAAACAAACAAAATAGTATAAACTGATTAATTTTTTTTACGAATTCTTGATATTTCCAGATTATTTTATTGGTAAAAAGAAAATTGAAATAATTGATGTCCAGAAAACGTTTTATTTATAATTGATCAAAAAAATAATTGAAAAAAAAAGTTTATATAGAATTAATAAAATGCATAACGATTTGTTGTTTCAAGTTCAAAAATAGAATGAATAGATGTGCCCAAAGCTAGTGCTACTCGAATAAGTTCAGTTGTCGAAAAGTACATAGCCGAAATAGCATTTAAGATCGAATCGGTCTCGTTATTGTTCATATATGGAACAAAAGTGGAGAGTGCATCTCCTTGCGTTAATCGATCGAGATAATGTTCCATTATTTTATGTACAGCATCTTGATGTTGACTTTGAAGACGATAGATTGCTTCATGTAGTTCTACAAGCTTTTGCTCATGTTTTAAAAGATCATTTTCGACTAATTTTGTTTTCGAACAGATAAAATGATGCAAAAATCGATGAGATCGTCTTTGAGTAAGAGCAAAATACGATGACCATAGATTGAGACATTCACTCAATCGATCACTCAATGTAGTAAGTTCAGTATGAAAATTTGAAAAAAAATCATCATTGATAGGATAGATTTGAATATTTTCTATATGTACGTCATTATTGGTGGAACATTCATGTATACGCATCAACTAAATAGAACGAAAATAGCAATGGACAAATATATCTATTACTCACCGCTGTATCAATACAATAAAAAATTTGAAACATATCAATTTCTTGTTGAACAAGCGTTTTATAACGTTTGATAGAACAGTTATTGTTAACCCACCAAAAACTTGGTTCACTTGATGCATGTTCAATGAGATTTCGTTGAATTGTGATCAGTTGAGAAATATGACTTCGTTGAACATCAAAAAATGATTGAATATTTTGTTCTTCTTTCTCAATATCTATTGACATTTCATTTAAATGTTTATTATAAAATAATTGATCATAGATTAAACGTATGGAATTGATATTATCACGACAAGCTTGAAAAGTACCTAAACATATCGATTGAAATAACTTTAATATATTGATGTTTATTTATACTAACTTTGAATATTATCCTTGAGTAAATCAATAGCAAAAACTGGAAAGATGATAAGAGTCAGAACGGCAGCAACTCCAATACCGACAAGATTCTCTTCGATTCGAAGAAGAGCATAGTTTCCTGCAGGTAACGTATTTCCATATGGTATTCGACCAAGAGTAATTAGAATTGGAGTGATCATAGCTACTGTAGCTGTATAATTCAGTTTTGGCAATGGTCTTATATAACCAAAAACAAGAATCCATGGAACTAACATTCCAAATGTTTGATAGACATCATCATGAACTGCTAAATATGTTACATATGCCCACATTGCTCCTTTATGAAAAAGGTTAATGCAAAATTGAATGACAATACATATAATTGTTATGTTAACTTACCGAGTAACGTTCCAAGAAGTCTCATTTTCATAGTTGTAAATGCTCCACCTACCGAATCCCCTTGTGTCATGCAAATAGCAACAAAAATCCATTGTCCATTTTCAAATGCTGTCGCCAATGGAGATACCATGACAAAAATTGAACCAATTCCAACTATGATCATACATTTAGTCGCTGAAAATAAACGTGACCATTTAGGTGTTAATCGATCTTTTAGACTTTGTTTTTTCTTAGCTGGTACGGATTTCTTTACGTTCGTTGTTATTATTCGTGTAAAAAGTCGTATAATACTATCGAATTGAAAGAGAAAGAAACTATGTGAAAGATAATCTTCTGATTGAATAATCGCAGCAGATTCTAGAGCATCCTCAAGACGTCGAAGACGTGCCTCACTATATGTTGCACGAAGTGCTTCACCAGCTCGCTCAAGATCAGATACTTGATGGAAAAATTCATCTTTCGTTATCGATGAAGATGTAGTCATAGTCGAGATAATAACTGATTGACATAAACAGATATGTTGAAGTTTTGCTTCTAGTTCTTGTATTAAATCACGATGATATTCATTGAATCGACACTGTTTAACCATCAATTCCATTGAACGAACGTGCAGGAACCATGCCATGATAAGATCATCTTGTTCTACAATAGAAAAAGAATACTATAGAGATTATCTATGTACAAAGCAAATGAACCTTGTATTGTTAAATTAATAATCTGCCTTCGACGTCGATTAAATATACGTTGTAAAAATCGAGATGGTTCAAAACGAGTTTCAACAAGTTTCATACGAATTGGACCTATTGCTGTAAGAATAATCTCTTCAATAGTTGACGTACGAGTAAGCGATATTTGTGCACTTATTTTATCTTGATGTAGAAATGCTTTAGTAATTGATTTTTGCATTTCTTGTAGATTCAATAAACAATAATTAACACGATTTTCAATATCTATTGTAGCAAAAACTGGAAAGATAGTCAAAGATACTAGTACAGCTATAGCCATTCCAATAACAAATGTTTCAAGTAATTGAAAGATAAATGTTGATGGAATGCTACGTTGATTGACTATTGTTGCAAAAAAGATTGCACATAGTACTAAAGGAATTTTTCGTGTTTGACTCTAAATAATAGTTTTCACTTTTCATATTCATACATTCTATTATTTAATATTTGAATAGAGAATATTTTTCTACACTGCTTATAACAGATAGAAAAGCATTGCACGATTATTCTTTCCTGTTCAAAATCATTCTTTTTGATAACGATACTGATAAGTTTCCTAACAAACTTTACTCTACATATTCCACACTATTAATATTTGCTGCTAAGTTTTAAATAACCATTGAGTATCTACTTATTTTTACTGAACTCGTTATTCACTAGAAATCATTGTACATTTGCAAAAGGAAAGGTTTTTATATATAATTTTACTTTATACTCATTTTTCTCAGACACAAATATTTCGTCTTGTTAATTCAGTTCTGTTTATATGTAAAGAATATTTACCTGTGAACAAATAAAAGCAATGAAAAAAGATGAGACAAGTAATATGAGTTCAGCTGCGAGATAATCATGATAACCGAGACCAATCTTTTGAACGATAAAAAGGAAGATGGTACTAGGTATAAGTCCTAACAGCATTTGAAAACAAGCAGCTACTGTTAAGCCAAATGTTTCTTGTAAACTCATGACACTTATGAGAGGAATTAAAAATCCTTGTGAAGTTTGATCACTAAGTGGTGATTTGTACGCAAGAAAACCACCAACAAGAAATGAAATCACAATTCGAAGAGTAAATTGTACACGACGAGCAAAAGTTGAATGAATATATGATGAAGCAGATTCGACATAATGATAATTAAAATAAAAATGGAGGAACGTTTGAAAGACTGATGACAGTGACATCCTACAAAACAAAAATGAAATTTATTTCAAGAAGATCATTTGTTCTATATATAATATACTATTCGAGCAAAAAAAATGCAGAATAAATAGTATGACTTAATCTGGACTTCGATTCATAAATATTGAAATCGGTGAGCTTCATGAACCAGATACTTATATATCATTTATACTAACTTCAAAAATATTAAAATTATTATTTTACAATAATAGAAAAATTTATTTAGTTAAATGAATTAAAACTTAACTTTTACATATATTTATTAGAAATGAAAAACAAATAAAAAAAGAATAAAACGGTATATTCTATTCATACTTTTTTGTCGTATAAGTATTTCTATCGACTGTATCGAACGCACGTGTTAGAGTCTATTGACTAAAGCATTTTTTTCTTCTCTTTATTTTAGCTACAACAAATATGATATTATCAATCTATTCAATGAAGCATGATGAAAAATATTTTTTCTTTTTACAGTTAATATTCAAGGCAATAACAAAATTTATGTTTAACAATCAAAGAGCATTAAAAACATTCACATCTCCTATAGAACGTATAGAATGCATGTTTCGAGATTTGACTTTATAACGAAAAAATTAATATTCACATTCTTTAAAACCTTAAAACTAATTCATCTTGTACATTCATATTTTTATAATTGATAGTTGTTTTAAATCTAACAATTATCGATGTTTATAGAATTTTCTTTAATTAAAGATTTCTCATATGAAAAACAAATAACTAAGAACAAGATACTGTATTCTTCTATTAGCCTGTAACTATTTATACTCACACGAGATGTTTATTTGAAATTTATTTGTATATCATCGAGAAACTATATAATATTTTTACTTATAGTTAAATATAAATTTTGTTTGCTACAAATATTTTTTAATAACTTAATATACAGTTATTATTTCAAGCTTCCTAGTTTCGCCTTTTCTATGACTTATTTATGATCACTATTTTTAAAATTTGAAAAGATTTTTATTGTGAAACATATATATATATACAGAATTGTGTGCATAGAAAATCAGTTAGTGAGGATAATAGTTAGCCACGAATAATGTTATATATACACTCTTATATTTGATGTCAAATCATATTTTACTGCGTAAAATATTCTACATGATACACAATATAAAATAGCTGTTATGAAATTCTTTCAAGTTTACATATAACCGACTATTTTATGTATTTGAAATGTTTAAATCCATTGTTACTATCACCCGATTGTTCAGGATGTAAGTGTACGTAGCACTTGACGATGATATCTGCATCCACCCTCAAGATGTTTTGATTGAAATCATTAATGTCTCATTATAGAAACAAATTATAAGAGAAAGTAAATAAACAACTATCCGAAGAAAGTATACATGTTAAATATTAAAAAAATTTTAATGCGCACATTCACCGATATGGCCATAATAATAACTATAGAAACAACACGTTATATATACATTGAAAACGTTTTATGGAAAGTAATCAAGTTGATTTATTTCTGTTTGTCTAATAAACCTTTAAAGAAGTAAATCGAGCACGCAGAGAAAAAAACCTGATATATATATATATATATATATATAGAAGCATTCTCATAAAATTATTCTCATTACTATATAAAATCAAATCAAACAAGTAACTTATTTCGTCTTCAAATGGTTTTATCACTTCATTCCATTGGTTTTAGTTGCATTGTATTTTTAGGTTAGTATAAAAGAATAGATAATCGATCTGAATAAGAAAATAATCTTTTGTTACTTTAGCCTTACTACAAGTTGCTACTGGTCTTGAGTGCTACATCTGTACAGATTGTAGTAGTGTTAGCAGTAGTACGAAGACATACAATACAACACTCAATGGTGCTTCATGTAGCGTAAGTGATAATAGTATTTTTGTGATATGATAAAGATTTTCTTTTTCTCTCATTATAGAAAACTGTTGTCAGTGCATCAGGTGTTACAACTGTAGCCCGTGCTGCTTTAGTTGCCTGCGCACAAGGTACAGTCGGTGGCCTTAGTACCTATTGCTGTTCAACCGATCTTTGCAATGGAAGTGGTTCTCTGAGCAGTTCATTATTGTTGGCATTAGCTCTCGCTACTTTTGCCACTATGTCTAAAATGATTCTGATCAATTGAAAAGAACGTAC